AATCGCAACGTGGGCAATCGCAACGTGGGCAATCGCAACGTGGGCAATAGTCACTGTGGGCAATCGCAACGTGGGCAAAAGACTCCCACTCGCGTCCACGGGCTGGCGGGCTCGTTACCCCGGTGGGGGAGCCGCCTAAGGGAAGGAAAACCTTGACAGAAAACCCGGGCAGGACGGGCTCGTAGTCTTGGGAGACCACCGTCCTAGGTGACGGCAACACTGAGGACAAACCACCAGTGATGAACATGGAATGGACACCACTAAAGTAACAGGCTTACCACCACAGTGTGCCTCGGATCGCACAGTGGCCGGCGTAGGGGGGGTTAGTGACCCCGCTCCCCCTATGTCGTCATCCCACGAGGGGCCGACCGAAGCGTTGCCAGCGGGCGCTTCGAGTCAAGCTGCTACCGTTGAGGTTATGCTCTTATCAGAGCAGCATTCCCTGGACGTCCAAATCCTCCCGCCATCGGGTGCTGCTTCTCAGCCCCCTGCGGGAGAGCTTTCTTCGCGTGAAGTTCTTGAGCTACGCGAAAAGGAATGTGGTTGGTGTGCAGAGGTCGAGGTAGCCTCACATACCACAGGGACTCAGGATGATCGGGGGTTTATGGACGCCCGTTCTGTCAACTCGGCGTTCACCTTGGACCCGTCAGAGGACGAGAGTGTCGTCCAAGCGTGCATGGACGTTGACGAAAGTGAGGCAACCGACCCTCCCGCAAAAATGACGCGCTCTAAGGCCATCATCAGGGCGGCTAAACTTAGCGTAAAGCCAGCGGTTAAAGAGGATCCGTCGTCGCCTAAAGCCGGTCCTTCTCGCCTTCCGGCTAAGAAGAAGGCTACGGCCAAGGCGTTTCTGAAGGCTGAGTCGAGGCCAGCTAGGAGAGCTGCGGCTAAGCCTTCCCGCAAGCGCAAGAAGACTGCCCGCATCGAGTCCTCGACGACGGACGACAGCGAGCCTAGTGCCCCGCTAATCCCTGCCGCTACAAGTAAATATGCCGGGAAAGCGGATCAGCGCAAGGTACGACAGATCGAGCAGTCCATGCAGGACTACGAGCAGCAACCACCTACTGCGATATATGGGGACCTCCTCGAGTGGCTCAAGGAACTCGAGGAAGAACGCACAAAGTCGGCCAACACTCTGCAAGGGGCAGTGAGTGGCCGCATGCGCGATCGCATTGTGCGGGCCAAGAAGGCGGTGTTGACCCTGTCAGGTCGGGACAACGGGGCATACACCAAAATACACGAACAGCAGCTGCAAATACGAATTTGAGGACTGGAGAAGGAGGTAGAACGCCTTCACGCGATCGAGGCTGAGTGCCGCCGCCTCCAGAACCTCGAAAAAGAGGTGCAGCATTTGCGAATGCAGGTCAAGTACGGCCTGCAGCCGCCTAGAGTGCCCACGGTCGCCCACGGAGGCACACAGACATCCCCGCGCTCTGAACGTACTTCAACGCCAAATGTCTTCACTGTGCTTCGGGAGCAACAGGCGACTCTCGGACCTCTTCTGGCAGGGGCGGTGGGACCAGATGTTCCTACAGCCTACCGCCCCCCGCTCCAGGGCAAGAGCGTACCTATACTGGAGAGACGGGCTCCTCCTCTTCCTCGGCAGTCAGAAGCCTCACAGGCTCCTCCTCGGCAGTCTGGAACTTCTTTAGCTCCCCCTAGGCAGTCGGGAACATCCACGGCTCCTGTAGAGACCGTGGAGGAGACACGGGACCTTCTTCTTGCTGCAGTGCAGAAGCTTCCTACCGGTCTGTCCCCGTTCGAAACCGTGGAGGCTATGGCCAAGGCCTTAAGTAGGGTGGTTCATAAGGTCACTCAAGTCCCACCACCCGACCGGGTAGACGAGCGCACGAACTCCCCGCAATGCCCTAAGGGCCCTCGAGGCCCTCGCAAGCGACGAAACCGCCGTCGCAGGCGTGCGACACAGCCTACCGCTGAACCGGCACGTCTATCCGGACTGCATCCCTCCGTGCTGGAGCCGGAGGTGATCATACAGGAGGGAGATCAGTCTCTCCCTCTAGATACGTGGGCGACGGTCACTCGCCGAGGACGACCTACGAAACGGGGACAGGGTGATCCTCAAACTGCCGGTCCTACGGCTCGCCCAGAGTCTGGGAACTTACCGCAGTCATCGTCTCGACGACGAGCCGCTTCCCAGCCGCGTCGGAGGCCACTGCGCACAGCTGCGGTTACCCTGACCTGCGTGGGTGACTCTGTTGACACTAAGACCGCCCTTAGCCAAGCCCGTCAGAAGATCAACCTCCCTGGTTTGGGGATTGAGAAGATCTCGACCCGACGGGCAAGGACGGGCGGCCTTGTCATAGAAGTCCATGGGGCGGACGGCCATGCCAAGGCCGATGCCTTAGCTGCAGAGATGCGCTCGGTACTCGAGGAGCACGGGGATGCCGTCCGGGTTGGACGCCCCACACAAATGGCCGAGCTTCGGCTGTATGGAGTGGAGGACTCGGTCACTCAGGCTGAGGTCCGGGACACGGTCGCGATGACAACCGGGTGCGACCCCGAATCTGTCAGGGTGGGACCTATCCGCCCTACACGGGGACTTGCCACAGTGTGGGTCAGATGCCCGCTGATTGCGGCCAATAGACTGTCCCAACTGGGACGTGTCTGCCTGGGCTGGTCTTCTGCTCGGGTAGAGCTGCTGCAGCCCCGGGGGCTGCAGTGCTTCCGATGCCTGCAGTCCGGGCACACGCGACTGCAGTGTACGGCACTTGCGGACAGGAGCACGGAGTGCTATAACTGCGGGGAAACCGGACACCGCGCCCGCGAATGCCGAAATCCTACCCGGTGTTCCGTGTGTGCCGCGCTTGGCCGGGAGGCTGGTCACCGTATTGGCAGTCGCCTGTGTAAGGCGCCAGTGCCGGCACCACGTCCGGCGCGTGAAGTTTCCCAGTCGCAAGTGGAGCGGAAGTCCATTGCGACTGGAGAGATGGATGTGGACGCACAGTAATGGCTAGGTTCTTGCAGGCCAACCTGCACCGGTCCCGGCCGGCTCAGGACCTGGCCCTTCAGTACTGTACGGAGGAGGAGATCGGTGTTGCCGTGTTTTCCGAACATTACGTGACGCCTGATCACCCACATTGGGCGGGCAGCACTGACGGTCTCTGCGCCATCTATTGGCGCCCTCGTAGCTGCCCAAACCCTTGCCGCCGTGTTGCCACCGGAGAGGGGTTTGTGGCGGTTAAGGCTGGCACGTATGTGGTCTTCTCGTGCTACTTCTCCCCAAACCGGGACTTGGCGGACTTCGAGACTTATCTCGATCGTCTTGGTGGAGCAGTACGCCCCTTTCTGCCTGGCGTGGTAGTAGTGGCCGGCGATTTTAACGCCAAGTCCCCGGTCTGGGGGGGCCCCCGTCACAATCCGCGGGGTCGTTTACTGGCGTCGTGGGCAGACAGCATTGGGCTGGCCCCGCTCAACGTGGGCTCCGCCCCAACGTGTGTTCGGGGACAAGGCACCTCCGTCATCGACGTGACGTGGGCCTCTCCCGCTGCACGAAGACTAGCACGTGACTGGCAAGTGGCGACAGAGACCGAGTCACTGTCAGACCACCATTACGTGCTGTTCTCCCTGGGGAAAGGCGTCCGACCTCGGCTGGATCGCACCTCAACGTACTTTCCTAGGTGGCGCCAGTCCGAAATGGACGTTGGCCTCTTTCGGGAGGTCCTCAGTACCCACGACGAGGCGTCCCCCCAACTCCCTGACACGGTTGAGGATGCCGTCAACTGGCTCAGACATGTGGTTACCGAGGCGTGCGACGCAACAATGCCGCGTGTCCGGGGGGTGAACCGCCATAGAGCAGTCTACTGGTGGAACGAGGACATCGCGAAACTGCGCCGCGCGTGCATCCGCTGCCGCCGGACCCTCTCGCGCCGCTGCCCGCGGGCAAGTGATACGGAGATCGCCCGCTTAAAAGCGAGTCTAAGCCGTGCCCGCAGAACTCTGCGTAATGCGATCCGAGCGGCGAAGTCACGAGCGTGGCAAGAGCTAATGGACTCCATCGAGGACGATCCGTGGGGACGACCATATCTGGTTGTGATGAATCAGCTGCGGCCGTCGGCTCCCCCGCTCACGGAAACCCTCGACCCCCAGGTAGTTAACAGGGCGCTGGACGCTCTTTTCCCGGGTGGGGAGACTGAGACCCAGCGTGAACCGGTGTTGCCCGTGAATTGGTCTCCGGACTTGGAGGTTACCGACGGCGAGATACGTGGGGCTGGCCGACACGTCCGCTCTGGCACTGTAGCGCCCGGTCCAGATGGGCTGGCCAATTATATTTTTGTCGCAGCCTATCCCCCGTTGAAACGCCAGCTCCGGGANTGTTATACGCGCTGCTTTGCAGAGGGCCGATTTCCTGAGGTGTGGAAGCGTTCTCGTCTCGTCCTACTCAAGAAGCCTGGCAAACCGGACGACCAACCGTCGTCCTACAGACTTATCTGCCTGCTGGACGAGATGGGAAAGTTCCTGGAGCGCCTCATCGCTAGCCGCATCCATAGACACCTGAGCGAGCCTGGGTGCGACTTAGATGATGCACAGTTCGGCTTCAGAGTGGGCCGATCAACGGTCGATGCTGTGCTGCGCTTCCGACAATACACGGAAGACATAGCAGCCAGGGGCGGAGTGGCGGTGGCGGTCAGTGTCGACATCTCTAACGCCTTCAACTCCGTTCCCTGGCAGGCCATATTATCGGCCTTGGAGTGCCGGGCTTTCCCGGACTACGTGCGCGCTATTGTCGGGGATTATCTGCACAACCGGCAGGTGTCGTACGTGGGTAAGGACGGCGGCCTCTACCACCGCCAAGTGGTGTGCGGCGTTCCGCAGGGTTCGGTCCTAGGACCACTCCTGTGGAACATCGCCTACGATGAAGTGTTGCGCGAGGAACTTCCTGCGGGGTGCCGCCTGGTCTGTTACGCGGACGACACCCTGCTTATTGCGGAGGGACGGTCGACTGCGGTGGCTATAAATTTCGCCATGATTGGCACCGAAATGTTAATTCGCGCCATACGACGCCTTGGTCTCCGGGTAGCCCCCGAGAAGACGGAGGTGGTCGCCTTCACTGGCCGCCACCACGACCCGCTGCCCGAGGGGATCCAGCTGGCCGGAGCTAATGTGCCCATTCGCCGGCATATGAAATACCTTGGGCTGCTCGTTGACGGACAGTGGTCCTTCCGCGCCCACTTCCAGGCAGTCTTGGAACGTGGAGAGCGCGTGGCCTCCTCGTTGGGACGGCTTATGCCAAATTTGCGTGGCCCGGGCNAGCGTCGGCGCCGTCTGTATGCGATGGTGGTAAACTCCATCGTCCTGTATGGAGCCCCGGTGTGGGCCGACGATCTTCTCCGCTGTAAGTGGGGACGAGCCGCGTTCCGCCGACTCCAACGGACGGTGGCCTCACGCCTCGTGTGTGCGTATCGGACGGTGTCCGGTGTGGTTGTCGGCATGCTTGCCTGCACTCCACCGCTGGAGCTGCAGGCACAGTACTTGGCTCGGGTGTTCCGCGAGATGCGCGATCCGGATGATCCCTTCCCTGACGTCGCGGAANTCAGACGCAAGGCACGTCAGGATATGGTGAGGCAGTGGAGGGACCAAGTGGGAGACCCCCGTCTGCCTGGTTTGGAGGTTCGGACAGCTTTGGCTCCCATCCTCCACGAGTGGACCGACCGACCACATCGCGGTCAACTAACATTTCGAACGACGCAGGTGCTCACCGGACACGGGTGTTTCGGTGGGTACCTGCACCGTATCGGGAAAGCCCGGTCGTCGCGTTGCGAGCACTGCGGTGCGGCCGAGGACACGGCCCACCATACGCTCGCGGAGTGCCNTGCGTGGGAGGTAGAGCGCAGGACATTACAGGGTGTGGTCGGCGAGGATCTGTCCTTAAGGACCCTCTTCCAAAAGATGGCCGCCGACAGAGATTCATGGAGAGCTGTTGTCTCCTTCAGCGAGGCAGTCATACTTGCTAAGGAGACAGCAGAACGCGAAAGAGAAGTTCGAGGTCACCTTGGAAACCTCGATGATGCCAGAGACTCGTAAAGTCTCCAAGTCATGCATATGACTCGTTCGGCGCATTGTTAGTAAATGGGAAGGAAAATCCTTCGGGACACTTACCTTCCCAGGGACGAGAACGTAGGTTCGCAGGTGTGAGCACAACCATCTAGCTCCACCGCCTAACCAACCAACCTCGGCCAGGAGTGACAACACCT